ACCAAGTTTCAGATAAACCTGTGTGCTGCTTTAGTTCTGACCAATTATAGAACCGTCGGTTATATAGTGTGAGTCTGCTCAGTGCCTTCCTCTGATCATTGATGTTGTTCTACCAGTTCTTCCAAAAGCCTATTGTCTCTGTAGGCTGCATTCCCTCAAGGGCAGCTACCCTGTTTTATACACACATTGGGTGCCAGTCTTGGACTCTGAATAAATTATCCAAATTATTTTGTAAAATTAATTGTGATTAAATTTGGAACCCATAACTTGAAATACTCTCTAGTCACCTTATGAAAATTGTGGAGTATAATAGTAGCTTCACAGTGAGGTTGACTTTGATTTCACCTGCTACAGAGGAAAACCCTACACTGTAGAAGAGAGGAGATGCTATGAATACATTGTCATGTGATGCTAAATAGGATTTTCAGAGTAACTGACCCCATTAAGATAAAACTATACCAAAATATGCAGTAAGAATACTTGGGTCGTAGTGCTGTGGTTATAGAAAGTTAGTGTGACATTATCTGCCTGGCTTAGAGCAGCTCTAGGGATGGCATTGGGGAACATAATAGAAAGGCTCCAGGAGACAAGTTCATGGAGAAGGTCTTTCTGATCATTTGTTGGTTGGCTTGAAGACAACTGTGATTTTATTTTAGTTTTAATTTTAATAAAAGCACTTGTTAGATCAAATTATTTAACTGCTACTGCTAAAGGGGTTTTTTTGTGAAATTTAGTGGCTTTACCCCTCTGAGAAGTCATTCAGGTTCACGAATAACCCTGAAACTGTACTTTTTTGTTTTGCCGTTTGACAATCCAAATGAGCTTGTCAGAGGATCATATGAATACAGAATGAGGAGGAGGATATAAGACAGACAGCAAGGACAGCAAGTAAGGATTCTCTGTCCTTGAGCCATTCCACAGAAGAGGCATGTGGGTTTGTGAATGGATTAGCAATAAACCTTGAAATGTGTTATATGTTCATTTGCACTATGTATAGTCAACATTTTATGTTTAATCATTTAATTTGCTCATAAGGTAATTAGGAAATGAAACCATATCGACAGCAAAAAATTTAATATATTCTTATTTGTTTCTGTTGATATAGTAAAAATAAAACTAATAGCACCAGGAATTTCAAGCCTGTTATGGTATACAGTACCATATATCCACAATGAGTGTCTAAACATTGATAAAAGGATGTTTGAGCTTTTGCTTTTGAGAGTTATTTTCTTAAGTGAATACTTAGAGATAAATCAGGAAAGGAATGGACATTTTTGCAGGTGTTTTGTTTGTCAACTGTTTTAATTTAGTACCGGGTACTGATGTCAGAAGGTCATTAATCTCTGATGCAACCTCTAAATATTCTGGCTGTGGTTTCACTAACAGGAACTTTTCTGATGTTATCCCACTGAATTCAAGTAGCCAAAGTTATTCATGTCACAGAACATCTTTGTATTTTCAGATAAATAATTGTTTCACACTTCACAAAGAACATGAAGACACCCTTCTCCACAAAGGAAGGGAGAAAGCAGGGAGGAAAAGTAGGTCCTGGTTCTCTTTTGAAAAACTGCTGGTGCTTTGGATCTCTGTCTGTAGTTCTGCAGCTTCCGTGAAGGAGAACAGAAAGTTTAATGAGGCTGACAGTCCGCTGAGATAGTGCCTAAATCTGGAGCAGGGGGGTAGCATTTTGGTTTGTCAGTTGTTTTGCATTTTTAGTGGGTTCAAGGGGGGAGATGTTGGTTTTGTATTTTTGAGGATTTGGGGGAGCTGTTGCTGATTGGGGTGCTGGGGTTTTTTCCCTGTAGCAACTGCATTGTGAACAGGATTATGCCTTCCTAATAATCTTTGGAACTTTTTATGGGTTGTCAGAGCATGTTTCTCACCCCAGTTTTGATAGCAACCTTCTTCAGCATACCAAGAAAATGATAACTGTGGCAAAATAACAATGTAACTAATTAAGCCTAGTTTTCAATGGATTTGTGTCCTTTGACCTATCCGTATTTTCACTGCAGTATCTTCGTCCCTCATAACCACCAATTTTCACAAAATCTGTAGAATGTAATTATCTTGGACATCTTCGGATCTGTCAAATTTAGCTTGTTCAGTCAGTGAGAGAACAGTGCTATTTCCGAGGAAAACAAGTTAAAATACTAGCTAAGAAGTAGGGAGCTTTTCCAGATCTATTTATATCTGACATTATTTCTTAAAGGAATTCCTGTTTTTAACCAGAGAATTCTGGGGAAAAAAAATTATTAATAAAATATTTTTGGAAACAGTAAGGGGATGGAATGGGTGCTGGTTCATATTAGTTTTAAATGCAAGATTGGATTTTGTCTTTAAATATACATGTGCAGTGTGAATTATATCTCTGTGAACAAAAGGTCATCCCAACCATGTGAGAATGGTAATGTCAAGTAAGTTTGGATTTCTAATATTAGAAAAAAATAGAAATTTCAGCCACTCCACCTTCTTTTGTCATCCTTCTGCATCTGTGTAATGTAACATACTTAATCATGAGTAAACATAAGAAAACTATAATTTCTAAAGTCTAGAAGCCATTATGTTAGTAACATAACTAACTTATCAACCTGTTATTTATGATTAAGTTGGCTTGCAAAGTGGTTATATAAATAACTGTTAAGCTTTCTTTTAATTACTGTTTAGTGCCCCAGGACTGCTGTAGTTCATTTTTAGGCACAGAAATTGAAATAATTCCCTTTGGACTGATCTTACTGTCTTTATTTCCTGTGTAACAAGTGGGCATGCCATCACTGAATGGGGTACAACAACACAATTATTCTGAATTTTCTTTCTTTTCCACTCTCTCCCTTTAACTTAAAGAGTTAAACCAAAAAAAAAAAAAAGTTGTTTGTCCTAAATGTTCTTACTGAAATCCATTATGCATGAAAGGAGTCTGAGTCCATTTGCAAGACCTCTAAATGAACTCCATTCATTCTGTGCTTAGAAATGTCCATTCAGCCAGAAACAGACACAATAGTTACAACCTCATTTATTTTGTACCAATACCATCATATGAAAAGTGAACCGTTTGTTTTGAAAAAGTATAGTAATTTTTCTGTGCTAGTTATATAATACTTTAATAAAATTACTTTAGGGTTTGAATGGTGTAAAATTGCCTATCTATTCTTTGCCCATAATTGCAATGTAGTAGCGTTGCAGTCACCTAAAATTCTTAAAACATTCATGAAGATTTTGAAATAGCTATTTTGAAAATATAAGTTCACTTAGCTTGACTTATTTTCATGTAAAACAAGTTACAGAGACATCTATTTCTGGTTAGCTTGGAAATTAAGCCAGTTAGTGATTGTAATTAGTGGCTATGGAAAAAATAGATTTTAAGTTTTGTCTTTTCAAACATTGAAACTTCGTTTGCATTTGGAAGGTAAATTACTTATAATATGCATGTCAAAATTGTAGGAATGTAGAATTTCATCACTTTAAAATCCACACAGATAAGTCAAGAATTCACTATTCCACATTTTGTCTGTCTTAAAGTGGAAATTGTCCCATTGTGATCAGCAGAATTTCATGATCCTCAGGTGTAGGGGTGTGATATCAGACCATATTACATCTCAGTTTATATGACTTGGAGTGTTGAGCAAGACTCATTGGTTTTCCTTCTAAGCTTATGAATGAGCAAAAATGATAAGCATTTAGGAGAACCTGGCTTGCCTTACATGCAAGTGGGACTTTCATAAGTTGTCATTCTTGCATGCACTATTAAACCTGTGTAAGAAAGGTCTGCAGCCTCCTACGAGCATTCTCTCCCCAGTTCAGGTGAGGGAGGCTCTCTAAAAAGAACCTGAGGTGGTTGCATTTGTGTCCTTTTCCTGCCAGGCTGGGTGGCCATTTGCATGTGTTAATTGCCTAACATGGAGATAGGGTTCAGTGTAGAAATAAATACTATGTTTGGAGGGAAAGAGAAAGTTGAGAGCAGATACAAACCTGAAGTCCTTTATTTATTTAGATTCAGCAGACCCTGTTGTGGTCAACTTTTCAGGGCCCTTTTGAAGGCAGTGATGGAGCCATTTTCGTGCCAACTATTGTTTGTGGCACTCTGGCCTTTAAGTACCAATAATCAACTTGGAAGGAGGTGACTGTGGTAGCTGACTGGAACTGACTGAGCATTTCCTCCAACAAACTGTAGAAAATACTGTTTGTGGGAAGTGTGTGAGTGAGGGTGAATGGGTGAGGGGCTCACGGCAGGAAAAACAACTAACAGGAAAGTGTAAGGAGAAACATCATCTCCTTGCTTTCAACCAGTTCTTTATCTGACAGTCCTCCTGCTGGTTGCTTTTCCTGCTAAGTCTCCTCCTCCTTCCGTCCCCTTGACATGCAAAATACACGTCCAGTGAATACCTACACAATGACAGTAACAGCACTTTGTTGCTGAAACTCCCTGCATTCTGTAACTCTTGTGTCGCATTCCATTGTTTTGATTACTGCTGAGTTTGACATTATGCGAATCGCACCTGCAGTATGGCCTGGTCTGGGATTGTACAATGCAATAATAACTTGAAGCTACCAGGAGTTCAACAGAGTAAAGGTCTCAGGATATGCTTTTCATAAAGTAAATTGTTTTTAAAGTTGTTTGGGTTTTTTTTAATATTTTCATCTGTAAATGTTACGCTTCTGTGTGAGCATTAAGTGACATATACTAATTTCCCACAATGTGTGTTTTCTCTGGATGATTTTCAGCCCAACTCCTTAAATTACTTCTTTACAGTTAAATGCTGTTGTTTTTGATGGAGTTTTTTCTGATAGACATCAACATTCTCCCACTTCATGTATTTTCCCAGCTTAGAGATCTGTCAGTTCACTTTTTTTTTTTTTTTTTTACTGTTGGGAAATGAAAATTGAATAAGAAGCATCTGTGACAATATATTAAAAAAAAAAAAGAAGCAAAAATTAAGAGGAATGATAAAATATGTCCCTCATAACTCACTGCTGACAATTCACTTCTGCTTTTGTTTGTTTAGGTACTTCCCACCAAGGTGGCTATTCCCACAGTGCAGTGGTCCATGCATTACAAAAATGTGGCATTCGTCACATTGACACAGCAAAAAGATACGGCTGTGAACCTCTCCTCCAAAAGGCCATCAAAGAGAGTGACGTGAAGCGAGAGGATCTCTGGATAACTACCAAACTCTGGCATAGTGATTACGGCTATGAAAACACAAAAAAGGCCTGCTTGGAGTCATGTGAAAGACTTGGCGTTGAATATCTTGGTATGAATGTTTACATATAGCTCATTTATTGTGCCTTCCATGTGAGTACTCACAAAGATGAATGAATTCCTGAAAAAATAGATCACAGAAACCAAATTCTGCTTTTATTTACACATTTGCAGGTTTCTTGTTCTGTTTGTTCTCTACAAAGTTCACATGCATACAATTGAGAGCACAGAGTTTTTTCTTGTTGCAAAAGTTTTGAAACAGCCCAAGGTATATTTTGTAAAGGTATATCTCATTGTTAAATTCCTTGAGGAACAACTACATGAGTTTTATATATTTTGCTAAAAACACCCAAAACATACATAACAAGGATTCATAAACTTTACAATAATATATTGGCAACAGGGTGACAAAAATGCCTGTTTTCTTCTGCGGTCTGTTTTCTTTTTCTTGAGGAGTGAGAGTCCTTTCTAAAACTTCATTTGTAGGTCTGTTAATTTTGAAATTCAGAATACTGCCTTTGGTTTGGTCTGTCTGATGCAATATACTTTGGGGAAAATGTTAGAAGTATTTACAAGACTTTAGAAAACTGAAACTAAATCTAACTAACACTGATGCACTTTCAAATTTAACCTTGTCATAAACTTTTAGTAAAAAATGTGATATTGGTACTCCCTTATTAGATTGGCAAAGAGCTACCATAGTGATGCCAATTAATTCTTTGCAACAGGCCATAACAGAGGAGATACCTGACAAAAAGAAACATATTTACTTCTTCTTCCCAAGCTGAAGCAATGAGAAGAAAGTGCATGTAGAGGAAGGTGAATTTAAAGTAATAATCTAAAATAATGACATTGGTGGAGATAATCTTTATGCTGATATTCAAGAAGCAATTGACCTAACCATCAAACATTGCCTTTCAGTGTCCTAAAAACCTTCATTTTGTTTCTTTCCTCATCCTGTCCCCATTTTAGCAATAAACAAACTTTAATGAGGAAGTGAACTACTTTTGTGAAGTATGAATTTTGCTGAATTAGTAACATATAATATTAGTGGCAGCTGTGTGCTATGTTTACTGGCTTTTTTTGCTTGGGTACTTTGCAAGGTGAGCAGGGAAAAGCTCTTATATCTGTTAAAGACTGATACCTGCATGCACATCTTTGGCTTCATTCTTTCTGGAAATGTATTCCTTCACTTCCTCCACAGGTACAGAATAATGCAAAATGAATTAAGATTTCTTTTTGTCTGTCCCGTGCAAATGAAGGTCACTGTAATGAGACTTTCATAAACCAAGTTTCAAGCCTTGACTATCTCCTTTAACTTCAGAAGTAACATTATTCTTTCTCTCTGCTTTCTGCTTGTTATTTTGTGTTTGCTTTCTTTTTTCTTCTGCTTGCTCTGGTACTGGTGCTGAATGTCGATGAGAGGAAAACTTGACTCACTTCCAAGAAGTCTTTTTCAGTGATTCCTTCCAGTACTGTAAATTGTTTTTATTTTCTCAGGCTGATTGAAGTAGGTGCTCACACAAATACTGAGTTTACAATTTGCTGCTAAGCAGAAATACCTGAAAGAAGGAAAAGAATATCTGAGAGCAAGAAATGCACTAATGCTGTCATCATGTGAGTGAGTCCTTGGATTGGCATAAACAGAACTTCAGTTTGTGAAATGTGTTCAAACCCAAGACTTCTTTTGCTCATATTACTAAGGCAAACTAAGGGAGTATTACAGCTGCCTGTCCAATTTGTCTCCATACTAGATTTGATCCTTTTTTTATTTTTGTTTTGTTTTTTTAATAGCCTCACCCATCTTCCCACCTTGCTTCCACTGATATGGAGATGTCTGAAAGATTTCTAAAGCTCTTCCCGAACCACTTAGTCTGCCATAGTGACCTAAATCAATGCAGGCTTCAGCTTGCTTTAACTTGACAGTTTGTGAAGTGTGATGGCTTTGGAAATACTTGACATGCAAGTCACTGATTTGTATATGAGGATGGTGACCACCATGAGAAGGATGGGATGGCAGGTGGAGCAACAGTTTTGGCTACTGGGGTTTAATATCTGTTGTATCAACTCCACAGTTTCTGTTAAGCACAGTGTGATCTGCACTGCTCTGAGAGAGATAAGGCTGAGTTCCATCTTTGGTGCTGTTTATGCTGGGAACTAGACCCTCAGAGGAGGTACAATACCTGGGGTGTTTCACGGGTTCATGGAGAGCATCCTTAGGGAGTCCTGTACCTCCTGTCTGAAAGCACTCAGCTGGAAGGTGCTACTGGAAGGATTTTCAAGCAAAATGAGGCAGTACCTTGAAATATAAACCTTTCAGGTTTTTTCAGGAATGCTTACAGTAAGAGCTTTCTGTTGGAAATTGAGGCTTATCACAAGTCCAGCAAAAGTAATTAGAATCCAGAAGATTGGTTTGAATATAAGGCTATAAGCTTGTACAAATAAGGTCAAGATATGTTTTCATTCATACCTGCCTTTTGTGTCCCTTTTCTGCTGACCAGTCTGTACCATAGAGAGGACCTAAAATCCATGGCAAAAAGAGATCTGGTAATAAAAAGGCAATTTGTGCCCAAGCTTATTTAGGAAAGTAAATTCTTTAGTTGCAAGCATGTGTTAATGCTGGCAGTTTTTCCGTAAAATAGGAGTGTGAAATAATGATCGGAATAAATCAGAATTTCCTGATTTCATTCTATGATATTAACCAAATATATGGGAGTTCACAACATTTCTGTAAAGATACATGGTTCTCAAAGAAAACCGAAATATCCTAAATAAAAATCTTTGATGTTAGACCTTTATGTTGTAGGAAAAGTTAGTAATTCAGAAGACTACAGAGAGAAGAAACTGCAGGAGTCCTGGCAGCTAAATGTTCAGCTCAGCTCTTTGTTCCTGTTCCTGTTAATTTTCTTGAGGATCCTTATGGATTACACAGTCCGTCTATACAGACTGAATTAGAAACCTGGGAAATAATCTCACAGGAGTTAGTAAATCTGTGCATTATCAGTATGTAGACTGTCAGCTGTTGAAACAGATGAATTGTTGAAAGCAGTCACAGCTTTTTAAGAGGAAAAGTACTCCATGTAAAATATGTGTTATGAAGCCTTTTCAATAAACACTTTTGAGGCAAATGGTACTAGGAGAGCAGCGTTCCAGGATTTTTATTTGAACTGGTAGATTATATATCCATGATGTGCTGGAAATTTGTATTATTTGTGGGCAGTGGTTGTAATAGATATTCTGCTCCTTGCATTTTCTAAATGTGGTCCTCAACTAGCAGACACAGTAAACCAGTTTGAAATGGCAGCAAATCTTACAGGTTTGGCAGTAGTAGAATACATTCCTTGGTATTTGGATCTAACCTCCAGAATAACTTCTTGAATGTGATTTGTGGGTTACGGAATTCATAAACAATTTTATTTTCCTTTTGACTGTTCCGAGTTTGTCCCATTCAGGCAAATCTGACCTATCACAAATCCCCAACTGGAGCTGGACAAATGCACTCTCAGCATATTCAGTGTAATAGATGAATCACATGGAATGGGTGTATTATCATAATTCATGTTCTGTATTGCTTCAAAACACTTTGTTGTTTTTTTTTTCACATTGATCCTTGTTCAATAGAACAAAACAAAAAAAAATACGAAAGATTGAGTGGAAGAGAAAAACACATCATGTCAATACTAAGTACGGTGACTGTTGAGAAAAGGAAGGAAAATAATTGCATTAAGATAGCTGGGAAACATTGAAAAATATTCTTTTGCTTTTAGATGTGATATAAGGCAGGGCTTGTTCTTCAAAACTACATTTGTTTTAGTCAATATGGACTTTTTTTTAATATTATATTAAGAATTTCAATAGAATTGCAAACTTTATTTTCACAACAACGTGCTGTTGGCTTTTAAACGTACTTTCCAGGGCCATTTGAATGTTGATTGTAGGTGCTGACACCGCTAAGAAGTAATAAGCCATTCTATTTTAAATGTATGTGTGAAAGCAGCACTGTGCCTTGACATTTAAACCAACTTCAGGCCTTTGCTTACCACTGCACCATTGCAGCTTGATTTTCTTCAAAGGATGTTTTAAAAAGGTGTTAAGTAAAAAAATTGAATGTTTGGATGTTTTTTTCTTCTTTCTCAAGTGCATCCTGATACTGTGAATCAGGATTTTTCAATTTAAGATTATTTTTGAAAAATATATGGTTGGAGGACATCTCAAGGTGTTAATTTAATTTTTCCCATGCTACCAAGCACAACCTCATCATTCTCAACACATAAAAATGTAGTCTGTTCTTAAAAACCTTCAGTGATTAAGTTACACATTTCTTGAGTACTACAACCTTGAGCTATTTCGATAAATGATTTAAAACTAATTTCTTGCCTCCAAAATGAATTAAAGAGTGTTTGTGTTCTCATAATCCCCCAGGAGGGGAAATATTTTAAGCAAAAGAAAGTGTGTGTGGGTGTAGGGTGTGAATGTGTGTACAAATAAAGATGAAATCATAGACCTGGGTTTGTGCAGGGCTTACTGTTTTTGTTGGCCTGCAGGTATCATGGAAAGTTTTCTAACAGATGCAGTAGAAGAAAGCAGATCCTGGCTGTGCCGGGGATGCTTTACCCATGACTGGCACAAAGACTATTCTGCTCATTATCTATGAGATAAGGGACCTTTGCCCCACATCTTTGGGGAAAACTTCTTGCAGTCCAGAAGGACTGTACTTTGTGATCCAGTAGAGGCTTTCTAGCCCTATGCACATATTTCTAAATGTGAAGTAATTTTTATTTCAACAAAAACCCTAAATTAAAATAAACATAGTAGGATTAGGATGATGTAGACATCACGTACCTGGTAACATCACCTTTCTAAAATAAAGGACCAACAGCTAATCATGTTTGCACTGAAGAGGCCTAAGACACTAATACAGGGAAGGCTGATGAGTTGCTTTTTTTTTTCAATGTCCAAGGCCAGAGATCTTTCAGTTATCAAATCTGTTAAGTCTTTCTTCTGAGAGTGCTTCAGTTTCTTGGACTGAGTACAATGCATCTCTGTATATGGAAATCCATGATGTAGCTATTTCTGTGAGCATTTGCAAACTGTGATGTCCAGCTGAATAATCAGGCTTTTGGAGAAGTAGCTTTTGGTGAAATTCTGCTGAAGTTTGATTATTTTTGCTAAATGATGTGTTTCTGCATACTTAAGCAGTTCTTACTAGTCTGGTTTGGAGAACATAGCAAGCAGCAATTAAAGATACATAATTCCATTTTTATGTCAGGTTGGCATCAGATACCAGTAACTTACACGTACTTACATGTGACATTTGCTTTATCCAAACAAAAAAGTTTAAATTCAAACATGGCAGTCTCTGTGCAGTAAGTACCACCAATGGCATATAATTTTGGATCAAACTGAACACTTGATATTAGCAGTTCCTAGTGCTAATCCTTGGGTTTACGTCTGATATAGATCAGTGGAAATTTCATTGGCAACAGAATTTAAGTAGCCCTGACTTTTGATCACAACCTCACCAAATGCTTTATTAGTTCCCAGTATTAGTTTTCAGTTAAATGTCACAGAAATTGGTATTTATTCCACTAGCATGTACTGGTATTTATTTTTAATAAATACAAGTTGTTTTCTCAGAGCAATTAGAGAAGAAGTAATTATTCATGCATTGGTGATGAACAAGACTGCATATGGAATTGGAAGTGGATTTTATGTATATAAGGGCAAAGAATAAGCAACTTTCTCTTTAAATGTGGTGCAAATTCAGATGCTCCACATCATTACATATGAGTGATATTTGCTTCCCTGAGCAATTGTATTTAAAAGTCTAATGTGTTATTAATATTGGAAAGTGCAAATTTAGCTTGTGATTTTTGTGATACATCCAAAATAATTTTTTTCTTCATACAATTGTAATATATCTTACTGTACAAAACTCTGTACTGTTCTAAAATTTTTAATCCAAGTAAAGTACTCTTTTTAACAGTGTTGCAATGATGTGCCAAAATTGGAACTGATGTATTATAGAGAATTTCAAGTTACCTTTTCCTCTTAAATCAAGGTTGAGTTTGTATTTTTACAGGTGGAAAACTAATATACTAGCCCACTGGTATAGTAATCATTAGTGCAGTCCTTAAATGGGAATGAAAAGAATTAATTTTCTTTTTTTTCCCACCTTTTTTTGTTATTCACAAAGCAGAGGATCTGTATTTTCTCAAAGAGGTGCTGTAAATGAATGGTATGATGTATTCAAAGAACAAAAACCTCTTCTCACTGAAACAAGTTGGAGGTTTTTTTATTTCTTAACTCTATATTTGAACTGCCAAAAAAGGAATATTATGAAGTACAAAGAAAATTATGTACATCTCAGTCATCTCTTTATTTTCTTTTGGTGTTTTTCATCAGACTAATGTATGCAGCAAAGGCCAAAACCTGTTTGACTGGGATGCCTGCAGTTACCTGTTTAATCTGGAGTTGGAATTTAAATAGAAATGTAATTGTTTTCCAAGTATCTCTTAAATTTCTCCTTCAGAATGTCTAGCAGTGTCTACAAACTTACAGAGGAGTTTATGTCCTGTCATTTTTGCAGTTTAGATAATCTCATTTGAAACTGTTGATGTACATGTACATTTCTCACTTTAATTTATGTGAATTTCTGCTGCCCTTGGTTGTTAATGAGATGTTATAGAATTCATTTATTAAGACTAAATGGATGTGTGCAGTAATGACCATGGAGTAGTATTTGTAACTATTACAGTGATAATGTGTTGGGGCCACTATGGAGGGAAAATGCTCTATCACATGATTTGATATATTTATTTTTTGCACACTTTACTGAGCAGTCTGGTTCTGCTTCTTTTTTAGATCTGTATTTAATGCACTGGCCTGATGCACATGTTCTGGGTAAAAGCAATCGAGAGGTCCGAGCTGAAACCTGGAGAGCGATGGAAGAGCTCTATGAGAAAGGTGATGTAACAAGAAAAAACTATCTCACCAGAAGGAATTATTGTGCACTTTGAGATTTGGGGAAGTCATAGTGAGAGACGTTCAAAGCTTAATTTGAACTGGGTGCTCCTATTTCAGTGGAATTTGTATGTGTAAATTATGAGTCTCTTTGGAAATTGCAGTGTTCCTTGTAAATAATACATTGTCAAATTCTGTCCACACCATGAATAATGGTGTGCATACTTTCTTGAGGAAACCTACTGATTGCATTGAAATCTATATGCCACTATAGAACGCTTTTGAACACTACAGAACACCTTTGTAGTAACCTCCTCTGTGTTAAGTATAAATCATGCCAAATTTTACTTCTTTTCGATTTTTTTTTTTGATTGTATGATGCCATTTTCCTGCTTATTTTGTAGTTCCATTTGTGTTTTAGAAAATGTTCAACAAAAGAAAATGGCTAGATGAGGAGCAAATACTGAACTGCAGATTCTTTCCTACTAACTTTTGGAAAAAATTTCAAGGAAGGGAGCTATTTGCTCAAGTTCTGATAACTCAGTTTTTGGTGCACTGCAAAGTTCAGTTTATGTTCATAGCAATAGGAAAAGGAGACTGTAGATTTAAGAGGAGGATTTTGCTCCTGAAGTATGCAGAATTATTAGAAATGGTGTCATGAGAGAAGATCCTGTCATGCAGTTCTTGGCCATGTGAACCACCCTTGTTTACAGCTTCAGAGAAGCTCCACAGTTGGGGAGAAGACTTCTTGGAGTAAGTAGTCTAACACTAACCCAGAGTTACTGAAGTAGTGATTGCAGCAGGGGAGTTGCACAAAGACAGTTACAGGCTGTGTGTCACTACCAGCTTTGTCAGAGCCATAAACCAACCTTACACTTCAACCCTTTGTTTACTTTTGCTCTGCCTCTGGAAACGCAGAAGTAAATTATCTTTGGTATATCTTTTGTTCTTGCTTTTTATATTAAGCGTAAGGGAAGGTGCCAAAAGTGTTTTCTGCTGTGTAAGGCATTACAACATTCAGTTTTTAAAGAAATGCTGCACTGACCTAATACTTCAAAGCATCAATGACTCTTACATCCAAAAATGAATTATTCCACAAGGTATTTCATCCTTCCATTGAAAAGGTTTTTTTCTCAAGAGTACTTAAGGTAGTGCATGTCATTTGTGCCTAGATATGGCATCTTAATTTGCTGCAAACAGGTTGTATTTTTCACATTCTATTATTATTCCTATCCTATCGGCTTTTTTCTGCTTTTCCATATGTCTCTGTGATCTTTCCTGTCTTGCACATCTTTCTCTATATATCTTCCTGATGGGAAAGACTATGAGTTATTCAGTGGTCTTCTAGTAAGACACTGGAAATACTACTCCTGGCCACGCAAACAGAGGAAATATTGCTTTTAATTTTTGTTCCTATGCATGATAACTCTTTACAGACATTCCATGTTATATTTATTTTTCCTGAAGTTGCATTTCTTCAACAATTTGGTCAATTTGCATGTTGTTACCCTCAGTCTTTATCTGAATTTAAGCATTCTGTAGACTCATGATCTGTTTAGCTGAGCATGAGTTTTCCAGCTCTGGTTGTCTAAATTACCTCAGTTAGATCATATACAGGGGAAGGAAAATGTAATAGTCTGGTTGACTCAAGTGCCTTAAAACATTAACTTCCACGCTTTTGCTTTAGGGGATACAGACTCTGGATGTCCTGACCATAAGTATGTGTTACGGAAATGACACGCAGACGTTAACCACTCTGGAGTTGGAAATGCAATGATTCCTGAGCAAAATGTTAAATAATTTGTTTGCATGGTTAACCACTAGGTTTTCCACTGAAGATTAAACACTTGCTGCATATCTTTGTGACTTGCTATGTGTTACGTGAGCAACATGTTAGCCTTAGTATGGACTGAATGTAGGATTTGGTCTAAGTCCTTAATTGAGGAAAAACATAAAATCTTCATTTATTGGGGGAAAAACTTGTAAGATCTTTACTAAATAGATGAGTTCTTTGTCTTCTCTGAACTTGACATTGGTTCAGGTAGTCACTGGTTCCTGTTTGCAATTCTGTTACTTTTTTTTTTTTTAAATGTTTATTCTGGAAAAAAAATTAGTAGAAACTAAACACAGGATTGACAATTTAAACAAGTAATGTGCTTCTACAATCAATTCACAAAGGTAATGTTGAAGTGATTGAAACCCACTTGCTAGTGGGTTTAGCAACTAACTGCATCCACACTGAAGTGTGTCCGAAAGTGCAGAGAATAATAGCTGTTCTCTATAGAAAACAAATTGGTTTGTCTTATGGAACTGATAATACTTTTATGGTACAGAGCTGTCTGCAAGAGACTTATGGGATGGTTAAAAGGTGTCTATGTTGACCTAAGGCTTTGATCTGGCTGAATTTAACAAGATTTTCTTTAATCACTTCTCTGTATTCACAGATGGTTTGAGTGCAGATACTTGTAAATCTCATTCTTCAACTTCAATTTAAATCCACGTTAATATTTATTCTACAAAATTCTACTTACCTGGGGCAAGAAACATTATTTTAAAGTAATGTAAATTATTAATAGTCGATTGTTATTATCAGTTGCCTTAAGAGTAGAGTAAATTAACTGCCAGTACTCAAGACTGTAAAAGTCTTTAATGCAGACTTTTTTTTCAAAGATTATTTAGATTGGTCACATTGGTCAGAAGTGGACACAAGAAACTGGAAATATGGACAATTTAAAATGAGAACCAGAAGAGTATCTGTTAGTGATCTGGTTACTCTCTCCGGCTGATTATTTGCCGTACTGAAGTTTTGGGCTGCACTCCTTGGATCCAGTGTGCTTTGGAAACTAAACAGGATTTGGTTACTGCCCCAAGGATGGAGTCCAAGGAATACACTTGAAAGAAGTTTTCATGTGTTAGCACTCTCACCCTTGTGCTTGAAGCCACTGTTCAATTGCCTAAGGCAACTAAGCAGCAAAACTTTAGGTCAAGAACAATTTCTTGGGCATTTTTCTTGAGATTTTTCAAGGGGAGACTTCCACTGATCAGCCATTGCAACTTCTTTGTATTGAGAATTAGGAATGGGGGAGGAGAATTATTATTTTCTTTACTGGTTTTAGAATTTTAGTAGGTATCTGAAAGTATAGGATAAAGGCAGAGAACTCTAGACATATGTCTTTGTTTAATAGCCTTGCTTGTGTTTTGCTTTAAAGGGTTATGGGATAAACAGCACTTAGGGAAAAAGAAGGAAAAAAATTCTAAAAGTTGGTCAGTGAGACATTTGTGTATAATAACTGGTTATTTCTGTTGTAACAGCTGAAATCAACTAGGATTCTTGTAATATCAAGGCTATGGTTTGAATTTTTGTGGTCTCAAAATTGTCATTTTGGGGAATTATCCTCTCCAATACCTCAGAACAGAGGCCAGGCTCCCTACAGAATCCATTCCAAGATACATACATTGAGTCATATATTCCCTTGACAGCTGCAGCATTCTTGTATAGGCATTTGTGTGCTGGCAGATGAAAGCAGTGTGGCAAGCTGCTTTGACATCATGAATAGTCATTATATGTGCTCATTGGTAATTGGTCTGTTCCTAGCAAAGTGACTCTTTCCATATGCAGCGTCTTTAATGACCTTGATTCTGGCATTGTGGCTAGCCCATCATCTTGGAAAGCTTTTCATACACACATGCACATGATTACTCATCTCTCTATCTAAAAATGCTGGGAAGAATGAGGGCTTCCAGCCAGCTTTTGCCTGAAGTTGGCAAGAGTGGTAACGTGGTGGTTGTTCTGGGTTCAGATCCCGCTCAGACTCGCTGCCATTTTACTGAGAGTAAAATTGTTTATCTTTTTCATGTTAGCAATGCAGCTTATGCTGAGATGAAATATCCTTACTTGCCTCAGAAATTCCTTAACATGTTAACATATGTTTTTGTTATGATTATGTGCATGATTCAAAGAGAGTCTTATAAAGAGACAGAAATTGTTTAGCCCAATAATTAAAGCCGTGTTACTATGTTCTTGGAAAAAGATTATGTTTTGCTTAATCCCAAGCAAGAGAAGAAATCTAACCAACCTTAATAATATTCTTGTCCTCCTCATTGTTGGGCATAGACGAGTTCAGTCATCTTTTCTTTCTCCATTTTCTATCCATTCTTAAAGGTATGAGTTGAGGTTCCAGTGAACCAAATACAGTTTTTTGGGCAGGTGGCACAGATTTCTAGCACATTGTTTGCTGGATGGCATATTCTGTTCTTATTCTACTGAAAAATTACTTTAAATCTGTACATATATTGTCAAATGATGACCAGCTGACAGTTCAAACTGTTGTGCTGCAGCTCCACAAAATGTTTGCCTCAAGAGTGCTTATGTTGCTAGAAATCATATGTGAAGGTGTGTCCATAAGTTGCACTAAAGTTCTAATAAGTAAAAGCAAGTAACTAATTTGCCTAGCAACACTTCTTTTTCACATTGTGGATAGTATTCTGTCTGTACAGATGAAGATGTCTCATGGGCTTGTTATTATCAGAAACACAGTTCAAAGATGTGTTTTCATGGGTTGGAGGTGGTTGCAGTTGGTGAGGATGTTGGTTGCACCACACCCTGTTGATCAGATAAGGCAGCAATAAAGACGTAGGAAAAAAAATTGCTACACTTATTTATGTTAAAGATCATAAAGAAATCTTCATCATTTTCAGTATCTTATTTAAAAAAAAAAGAATTACCATAGAAGAAGTCCTTTTGGTGCAGATGTAAAAGTGGGAATTAATCTAAACTTGCATTAATGTCTATGCTCATTTGTTTTGCTCTTTTTTCTTTCTTAATGTTAACTTCATGGGTAATTCTACCCTCAGAGGACATTGTTTCATGATTTATTGCAATGTATGATTTGAGCCTTTTCTGCTAGCAAGCAAATCCTTTTTGTCAAAGCTGTAAATGAGCAAGCTAAGCAAGAAGATTTAAAGCAAATGTACACATTTTTGTACCCACACAGAGGTGCCTA